GACGACCTTCCCCTATAGTTAACCGGCTGGGCAAAACCCACTCAAGCAATGCTCCCGCAACAGAGGCGCCATTCTGGGAAATGATCCTTTCGATTAATTCAACTAAATGTAGGAGTTCTGGCATGGGGGGAAGAGAGGAGATTGCAATTTTTTCCCCTCGTAGAGACAAATGGATTCTGCAATGAGACTACATATGCTTTAAATCCTAATGACTTGAGACAAAGGTGAGCGCCGGCAGTTTGATCTGTCCAAAGTTCAAAGATCTGAAATCTCAATGAGTTTCTGTTTGAGGTGAAGGGGAGAAACAAACACCATGGCACTGCTTGGGCCAGAAATTCGTGCGGTTTGCAAGTGAAATGCGAGGTTATTTACACTAATCTATCCTTAACTGCTACTTTGTCACCATGGGTAGAATAATTATTAGAAAATAACCAGAGAGAACAAAGGCAGGTTTTCTTCTTATCGCCTCCCGTTTTCCACTCTTCTCTTCCCCTAGTTATTTTCTCTGGTTAAAAAAGACCTTTCGACACTACAAATCACAGAAAATGTGCAAACTAATTTTTTTTAATTATTACTCTGCCTTTGCTAGTAGCTCAGAAGACTGGGTTCGCAATAAGAGAAAAAAAAAGAGCCATTTTGTAGTACCGCCCTTGACATGTAAATAATCAAGCTAATTGCATTTTGATTTTAACTATTAACCATTCTCCTACATTTCCTAAAACACTATTGCGGCGTGGGAGTTTTGCAAGGACTTACGTGTACATTCCGTACTCCGGTCACTCTGTGAACTATTGTAGTGTAATTTTCGCCTGGTCATTGTGTATTAGGTATATTTTCACTTGTCTCCCCTGGAAACAAATACATATTAATTACATCTATGTTAATATATACAATACATGCATATATAAACCTCCTCAGAGAACTTTATATCTCGTTTTTATATGAGGATAATTTGCTTCTTCACGAATTAAATGTATCACGAAAATGCACACGAAAATTATTTATTTATTTATTTATGAAGTCTCTGTTTTAAAAATATTCTTTTCAGAGTGATTAAACACATATGTTCATACATACATGCCTTGATTCCGTTTTATCATAACAGAAAAGAAATGATACAAGGTGCATCGTTATCGCAATCAAGCGTTTTATCTATAATATCGCTATAAAATTAAAACCGAGTCAATTGCTCTTCTAATGGTTAGTTGACGTTACAGCAAGGGAATTAATTTATTTCGGGTTTATGCTGATGGACCAATTTCAATACCTACTCAACACATTTCAAAACAATTTTTGAAGCTATCCCAATGTCTGAAGAGTTTTCTCGTGCCGTTTTTTTACGATTTACTTGTATTTTATCGGCACTTATAAGCTTCAAATGAAAAATTGTCCTGCAATTTTTTTCCTCATCTTTGTCCCGAAAATTTCAAATTGATTCTGTCCAAATAATATACATCCTCCGACTATTTGCCGATGTAGGCGATGTAGATGTGCAGTGCTGTTCATTCGCACTCAGGAAACAAACCAGGAATTATTTGTGATTTTATTTCTCCTCCTTGACTTGGACGGCTGAAGTTGCTTTTATTCCATCGACTCTTCTCTTCTGCGAAGGGGAGGTGCTGCTCGCAGGTGTTCCGACGAGGTCCCACGGGGGAGGGCCCCGTCCTGCCCCCTCTTGCCGGAGGACACAAGACTGCTGGACCCCGCGGCAGAGGAGGCTCCGCTGCGCCAGGGAACTCACCGCGTCCCCTTGGTCCCGGCTGCCGGGACTGCCCCTGTCCATCCCCGTGGAGTCGCGGCCGTACCCGCCTTGTAGCCTCGAGGGTCCCTGCCCGGCCGGCGCGCCCAATATCCCCCCCTCACTCCGGGCCGGGGGCCTCCTCACCGCCCAAACTCCGTGTAAATCTTTACAGGGATCTCCCGCCGCCCTGATTTATTCCCCGCTTGTATTTAATGACGCTAAATGAGCCGTTTTCTCTCGCGCGCGTGTGTCCGGTCGGAGATAATTGCTGAATAGGAAAAGGCGAAGTTCCCCTATAAATTGTGGTGGCGGCCGGAGCCTGGAACCTGCAACCTGGCGGGCCCCCGCTTTGCCTCTGTCACGGACGCGGGGCAGAGATACCACCTCCGACACGGGCAGAAGCCCCGCACCCACCAGCTTCTTCCCTCCTGGGACGGGGCGAGCGGTCCGGCTGAAAGGAGATGCTAGTAAGCTCTTCTACACATTGCGGGGCGGGGAGATGCACCCTCTTCCTCTGTAGCCCACTTTTAGTTTATTTTTGCACTGTGGCTGGGGGCTTCTTGAGCACATGATTAAAGCAGCAGCAGGGCAGCTAGGAGCGGGACGGAAAACAGGGGACTCTTCTCCCCACTGCTGATTTCCAAGTCTTAAACTGATCTCAGAAAACTGCGTGCTTTGCGCCGGGGAGCCGCGTTTTTAACATGAGCCCTGTCTTGTCAGTGGCTCATTGCCCACCGCAGACACCATTTGCCTACGAGAAGAAAGGGGAGGAATACAATCTTGATGGCAAGTGGAGAAAGGGCACACGCTGCATCCGTGACAGGCTCCTCTCCTTATCTATGAGAGGTTTGGAACTGCGTCGGTCCGCTTAAACGCTTTTATTACCAACGCCCCGAATATTTCCATTACACACGGTCTGTGCTCCTCAGCTGATATGTGAAACTTGCTGCCTTATCGCTGTCGGTCGATTGATATTTTCCGTGTACAAGCCCAAGGCACTAAATCAATGTCTCCACTCTGCAAAGGCGTATTCTCTATAGACTACTCCGTGGGAGACAAGTGAAGTCCTGCTGAAAGCGGACATCACCCTGTCTCGATTGTCACGAAACTCCTTTTGGCAGAAGAAGCGGGACTTCAAATAGGATCCGCCTGCCCAGACTTGGTGCCGAGCAGCCCCGAGCTGCCCCTGGCTGCGGGGAAACTGTTGGTGTTTGCCAGTTCGGAACATTCAGAGGCGAAGGGGCCACACAGCCGGGTCATGGGGTAGCCGGCAGAAGCCGGTGTCGCGGGCACAACCCCCGCCCGCTGCAGGGCCCGCATGCGGCAGCCGGGTGGGACCTGCGGTAAATGCCCGCCCAAGCGCACCCACACAGTACAGCGCGGGAGCCAGCTCCGTGTTGCCGTGGGCGCCTTGCGCGCATCTCCTCTGCGGATCACCGCTGATCCGGCCACCCTTGCAAAGCCGAGAGGCTCTCACAACACTTTTTTTTCTCTCGTTTTTCGCTGGATAGTAGTGCTGGAGGAATGTTGTGAGATTTCTGGGACGCTGGTTTGCCTTTCTAAATCCACACTTAAATTTGGTTTGTCGCGGCTGTCCTTAAGCTGTCAGGGGGCAATTATGTGATAATTACGAGACTTACAGTTATTTTATCTGGCGCCCGTGCACGAACGGGGCTCGCCACAGCAAAATCAGTTCACATTTGAACTCCCATCCCCGACAAAGCCTCTTGCTGGGGATCAGAGCTCGGGAGCGCGGCTGCTGGTATAGTTCCGAGGGGTCGTTTCCACTGAGGACTAGAAAGCCTTTCTTAGCGGCCCGGGACGACATGGAGCCGCTCTAGGGATGCTCCCGGTGGGCGTCGTCCCGTCGGGCGGGGAAACACAGGGTCTGGCTGCCGCCGCCCCGGCCGCAAAAAACCCAGGAGCTTACATCTCCTCGAGTGGGTTTTTTCTGCCCTTCCTCAACCTACCCCAGCATCGTGAATTAGGAGGAAAAAAAATTAAAAAAAAAAAAGAGACATCACTACACTCACAGCCTCACAGGCCTGTGGCATCGCAGCACGTCCCCTGCCTTCCCTCTGCACAAGTCTGGCCGTACAAATCCTTCCTCTTCACATCCACACTTTAGAACTACGTTTTTATTTTCTCGCACAAGGCTCTGTTCTCCGTAACCCGCCCCGGAAATTTTGAAAGAAGATAGCAGAAGTATTTAATTGATAACATTTGATTTATTTGAAGTCCTTAACTGCAAGTGATCAAAAACATACTTCACGCGTTAAATTCTCAGTTATCGTTTTAAATCAAAATATTTTTTCAATTACAATCACATTTATAAAATTAACAAAATTTCTTAAATTGACATGTAATTCTCTTTTTTTTTTACTGTCATTTAAAGCAATTTCCAGCTGTAAAGAAAGAAAACAATATAAACCATGCAATAAATTAAGAACATTGAGACAGTGAACAGGAATAATAATAAAACCCGTCTGGCTATGCTAACACCGTGTAAAACTGTGGAAAGTGCAATAACACTGGATGAAACAAGCTAATGATGGCGATAATTAAACGGTCACAAAAAAGAATTATTAAACAAGTTGGAAAAAGAAGGAGAGACAGAGCTGTCCTCTTTTCCTTGCATCGGTGTAATAGTCACCGTTTCCTGGGGAAGGGGGAAAATAACCTGGTTATACATACACAGTTCTAGCTGGTATACAATGAAGACACTTAAATTAAATAAGTATGTCATCCACATGTTGATGAGAGTTCCTGGTGAACGAGAATCTTCAGTAACAGATGGGAAAGAAAAAAAAATCCAACTGGCTGTGACCTCTTGTAACTTTGTATTATATTCCAATACAGGTAACACTTGGTTAAAAATAAGGGTCGCATCCTGCACTCCAAAGCTCCAGTTGGTCCCCTCGGGAGTGCAGGATCTGGCCCGCAGCATCTGGGTGTATGGGGGTTGTACTAGCCGAAGGTTTATTTTGCAAGTATCAAAAGGGTGATCCGAGAAAGTAAATAGTCCTCTTGTTGCTTAGAGATTCTCTTAGTGTTTTGCTACTTCACAGCAGTATTGTCCTTCAAAGCCTTTTTAATTAAAAAAAAGTCTACTCGCTTCTTCATCTCCGTATTGTTAAAGTATTGCCACATACCTGTAAACTTACATGAGATTATAGAGCACATAAGGGAGAGAGACGAGGGGGCAGAAAGCACAAACAAGTAGTTTACAAGCTGAACATTTTTTTTCTTCTTTTTAGTAAATAACACCCTGCATAGGCTGGGAGTGGGGAGGTGGTGTCTCTGGGGAAAGGGGCTGGGCAGCAGGGGCCAGAGGGGGTATGTACAAGCGGGACACGGGCGGCTTTGCAAGAGGTCGTGGTGGATCATAACAACACATAATGCGTTGCGAGACAATTAAAAAGTAACAGTCCTTTGCACGCAACGTGCAGAAACACCTTGGTTTGTCTCAGGGAAAGTGGGGAGAGAAGCCAGGATGGGGAGAGGGATCTCGACTCCTGCGGCGGCAGGGGGTGCAGAGCTAGGAGGTGTTTAGCACGGGTCTGGAATACACACCTTGGTAGTAGGAGGGCTCTAGGGCCGAGGGCTCGATGCTGCTCCGGCTCGCCATGGAGGCACTGCCCAGGGGCAGCCCGCTGGGGATGCTGGCCCCATAGGAGGAATATTGCAGCGCCTGCTCATACGCTTTGAAGTCCAGCTTGTGTTGCTGCTCCGAGGAGGACATTAGGTTGTTGATGGAAAAGGGGTGGTTGAAGGAATAGTGGGGATCACCCTTGAGGTGGAGCTGGGGTTCGTGTGCTAAGGAGTGAGGGGGGTGCGGGACAGAGGCCAAGGTGGGGACGGAGCTGATGGTGGAAGAGGCGGCTGAGGCCGAGGTCTTTAGCTCTGCACTTGATCCACTGTGGTCCATAGACTGGGGGCTGGTGGACGGGTTGGAGCTGGAGAGGGAGGTGGCTGTGTCCAGCTGCGCGGGTTTGTTGTGGCCTCTGTGCAGGGGGGAGTTGGAGCTTGAGCTGGAGGCCCCAGCCTGATCTTTCCTGCCCTCCTGAGGGGCTTTACTGTTTGCCGGCTTCTCGCACTTGAAGCGCTTTTGCCGGCGGAGGTAACAACCATTTTCAAACATATTGCCGGAGTCAGGATGCAGGGTCCAGTAGGAGCCCTTGCCAGGCTTGTCAGGGGAGCGGGCCACCTTGACAAAACAGTCATTGAAAGAGAGCGAGTGGCGGATACTGTTCTGCCAGCGCTGCTGGTTCTGCCGGTAGTAGGGGAAAAGGTCCATGATCCACTGGTAGATCTCGCTCAGCGTCAGCATCTTGCTGGGTGCTTGCTGGATGGCCATGGTGATGAGGGATATGTAGGAGTAGGGTGGCTTGGCGTGGGGGTAGCTCCGTTTGAAGGTTTTAGCGTCCCGTGTCCTGCCAAGGTTGGACTGGGTGTAGGCCATGGGGCTCATGCAGGGGTTCATGCCGCCATAGGGGCTCAGCCCATTCATGGGGGCCGGTTGTGCAGACATGGCATTAATACCACCGGGGCTCAGCGCCGTGCCCATCGCGGCCACACTGGCCGGCATGCCGTTCACTGGCCCCGCTGAGCCCGCCGGCATGCCGGCCACGGCGCCGGGACTCAGCCCAGCCCCCAGTCCCGTGTTGGCGTAGGACATGTTAAAGGAGCTGGAGGTCATGTTGCCGCTCGTCGTCATGGTGTTCATGGTCATGTAGGTGTTCATGGTGTTCATGGAGCCCAGCCCCGAGTTCATGTTGCTCACGGGCACCGAGGAATAGGCCTAGGGCAGCGAGACAAAGAGAGGGAGTTAGGGAGGAGAGAGGTGTGGCAGGACTCCATCTAAGCCGTATCCACCCGCCTGGCCCAGCCAGCCGAGCAAACGTCCTGCTGCGGAAACACGGGCCGCTCCCCCGACACCCGGGAAAGAGCTTCCCCAAAGCCTCATGGAAAGGCCGCTGTCGCCTTGAAAAGGTCTAAGTCATATTGATACGTGTTTAGAAATAGACACGGAGCGGGGGTGCTCGGTCCGGACGCGCTCCTTGTTTACTGGCGTGTCGCGGCTTGTGCGGGCTGCACCAGGAATAGCGAGGTACACGGACCGATGGTCTTCCCGGAACCGCTCCGCATCCTCGCGGAGACGGGCTGCGGGCTCAGTCTGCCCCGGGAGGAGGTGTTCTCCCGGAGCATTCCTGCATTTTGTTGGTTTTGCGTCCTTTCTCGCTAGCTAAATACTTAAAATCATCAGAATATTGAAATTGACGGGTGTACACTGCGTCCAGGAGAAAGACTGCTCGCGTTTTCTGAAAAAAATCTCACGCGTGTCTTCCTTCCTGCACTGATTTAAATTCCTAGTCTAAGAAATATATAAGATGCAATCATATTTTGTCGCAAAATAATAATAGAAAACTCCACCAAAATCGATCAGCTTGTGTTGGCGCATTTTATCTCTGCGAAGCTTCTACCTTGTCTGCATTTTCTATCAAAACAGTATTTAAATTAAAGTTAAAAAAAACCGAAACAAACAAACAAACATACACACAAACTTTCCCAAATTACAAAAAGCCTAAACTTTCTCTGGCTGAGATTTTCTACAGTTGCACGACGTGGAAAAACTGTATCACCCTATTACATAAAACAACTCGTAAAAAAGGTAGAACCGGAGAGCCTGAAATTGTACTGTCCAGTGCGGCATCCGATTTAACAGGAGAGAGAAAGACGCTCCCAGTTTACCTCGAACTAGAGCTAATATGACTGAGAAAATGAGGTTTAAGCGACGGTTAAATGTATAAAATTAATTTCTGATCCCCACGAATTTCACGAGCTTATAAAAGCGCTTTTAATTTAGAGGATCACATTAATTATTTGAGATGGTATAACGCGGCTAGGTTTTTCACCCTGCATCCATGCAGTGATTCCAATTAAATAGCAAGGGAGGAGAAAAGATTGAAGTTGAAAAAAATACCAAAAGCGAAGGTCGCCTAACTTTGTGTTTGTGGACAACGAGTATGGCGAGGATAAATGAGTCTGGAAACGGCTTATAATTGGGATGACCCTTATCTGCCCTTAGCCGACCTTCCTCTATTAAAGAAGATGCCAGCTGGGTGACACGTATCTGCCTGTGTCCGCGTGGCCCTATGGGCGCGTGTGCCAGCTCCGGGTGCGGGACAAGACGTGGGGATTGTGGAGCCGTGTGTCCGGGTATGCTGATGCAATGCCCGGGTGCGCACACCCAGGTGCCTGCCTCGCTGCTGAACTTCCTCAAAACAGCTCCTTCCCGGGCGGGAATCCGTGGTGCTGCTGGCCGTGCTGCCGGGCGCTGGCTTCTCCCGGAACCCCCGTTGCAGAGCCGCGGCAACACAGTGCGGACCTCGGGCCCCATAGGGCCGAGGAATGCCGGGCGGAAGGCTCCGGGCACTGCCGTGGCCCTCTCCTCCGCCGCAGTTGTGGGCGCTTGGGCCGGTTCTCCTCCTTCTTGTGCACGGCGCTGCCAAACAGGCGCGGGGGCGGAAGCGCCTCGGGAGTGCCGCGGGCCGGGCCGGGTCCGTGTGCGGGGCAGCGAGTTAGGGTGCGGGCCCCCGGCTCCGGGTGCGGGCCCCCTCCCGGTCCTGCTCCCGGCCTGGCTCCCGGCAGCGCCGCCAGCCGGCCCGCCGCAGCAGCGCCCGCCGCAGGCAGCCCGTCCGCCAAGTACGGACAAACGGCTGGTTTTCCCCCTCCTTTCCTTTCCCCCGGCTTTAACAGGTGAGGGCCCGGCGGCGGCGAGAAGCGAGGCCGGCGGTCCCGCCGAGGAGCTCGGGGAAGGCGTCGCCCCTTCCCGGGACGCGCTGGCGACCGCCTTCCTTGCCCCCTGCCATCTGACGGGAAGGAGTCGGGGGCCGGCGGCGCGGCGAGTCCTCTGCCCCAAAACAAGAGTTTACGGGGCGCTTTTGTGCGCGCCGCGAGCGGAGATTACGCCTTCTAGATGAGATCAAGGGCTGTCCCCTGCCCCCCAGCACTCCCAGAGGGCTCGCAGCCACCCCGGGTCTCCTCCAGATGCCTCTAGGGCTCCTGGAAGCAGTGTTTTCCTCGGGGAAGCCTGGCCAGTTTCGGTGCCGGAGGGAGGGGGAAGCACGTTTGCGCTGGCAGGATCTGGACTGCAAACCGATTCCTCCGATTGCTGCCCCCCAGACTTCTAGCCCCCCCCTCCAGGCCCCCCTTCCCCCTGCAGAGGGGCAGCTGCGAAGCCAGACTGTGGGATTTACTCACCTCCTGAGTGTCGGCGTAGTAGCTGTTCCAGTCGCTGGTTTCATGCCCTTCCATTTTCACAGTCCCTAACATTATGGAGCCAACCTGCCCGGTGTAACCATCCAGCCCTCTTGCAAGCGAGCGACAGGCAGCAGGAAAAGAGCCCGAAAGCCCGACCTAGCAGGAAGCCAGCTCTCAGGAGGGGCGGGGGGTTCTGAATTCTCCTCTATAATCAGCCAAAAAGGAGGCAGAGAGCGGTGTGGGGCGAGACAGTTGAGAAAGTGAGGAAGTGCCGGCTGGGATGTGAGTGGAGTTGAGCTGATGTGGATCTTACGTCGCAGAAGTACCCACCTCCTCCTCCTCCTCTCCCCATTTGTCCGCCGCACAAAGGCGTTCGCACCTACAAAGCCGGAGATGCACCTGCAAACAAGGCAGTCCCCCTCGCCTGCAACTCCCCCCGGGGCGGCACTTTATTTGCAAAGCGGCGTAATTGGTTTAAGCTTGTGGGGAAAGAGGGAGAGACAGAGGTGGGAGAGGGGGAGAGGGGGGAGGGGGGCCGGGACGGGACGGGGGACAGACGGACACGACTACCCTTTCAGGTGAACAGGACAAATGCTAGGAGGGATCGGAGGAAATAAAATGAAGTAGATAAGGGAAGGGCAGTCCCCTATATTTGAAGAGAACGCAAAAGGCCATCCAGCCTTAAAGCCCTGAGATTAGGGGCAATATTTACTAAAGTCCGGTAGATGTTCCTTTATGTCCGGGATGTGCTCCAAAGTCTCGAGTCTTGCAGTCCACAGGCTCTCCCTCGCTCCCACCCCTCACATCAAAGTTGGTTACCGTGCAGGTATCCCCGGGCCCGATCGCGGCACCTCACGTTCCCATCGCCCTAGGGGCTCTCCCCAAAGCCCTCCGACACACCCACCCCCCGCAACCCGGTCTGAACTAGCTCTTCAACCGGGGTGCTGTCCTATGTAGATGGTGATAATGATATTGCTTTTCTGGTGCCTTAGGTTTAGAAACCATGTGAGTCACCGTGCTGAGACATAATACTACAGGCACCCAATAAATACGGACAGAGGCTTGAATGCGGATCCACTGATATTAACCTCCACTTGGCAAACATCAGGTGAGTCACTAGAACCATTTTATATCTTTACTGTGGAAAGCCTCCAGCCCAGAAGGCTCATTTGGAAGCCTTCTCTGATGACAGACAGGAGCAGCAATAATAAGTAGCGGGTATCTCATTACCAACTTCTTGCTTATTGACCCGATTTCTCACAACGAACAGGGGAGGAGGAACCTGCACAGGCTGGTAAAAGGTAAAAAACACCCATAAAACAAATTGACATTGGACAAATCTTTTTATTATTATGGAGGGAATCTCTCAGTCTTTGCAGATGGATCAAACATTTTCTGTCCTGTCCGGCTCTTCGAGCCTGTGTCAACACCACAGACTTTTCTTGGGTTTCTCTATCTATCCCTTGTGAGTTTGTTTCTACCTAGCTACCAGAACTTTTATCGCCTGATAGTGAAAAACATAAACCAAAAACACAAAACCAAAAAACCCACAACCTCCAACCAGCAACCCAACACCCCCCTCCAACCCAAACAACTTTCCTGACAATGGGAATTTGAAGGGCAAATAAAGCTTCTTGGGATTTTGGAAAAGGCTTGCGTGTTATACACACAAAGTATAATACACATCTGTGTCTGAATTTCGGCCTGACATGTTTATCGTTCAGCACGACCACAGTTGCTTCCACAGTGGTTTGTTCTCGAGTGATCTGCGGAAATGTCACCCTCAGAAACAAGATTTTAAATTTTCTTATACAGAGACCCAAGATTCAAATGACAAGATATGGCATATCTCTGCTCTAAAAATATTTTTAACTTGTCCTCTAAAAGCATTTTCTGTTACCCCATTCTTTGTTCTTTCCCTCCTCATCCTTTTCTTTTTTTTTTTTTAAATCTGGCAACAGAATTAAGTCAAGTCCTCGAAATAAACACAACTCTGCAATCAGCAGAGCAGAACAATGGATGAAATGGAATGTGTCCTGAAAGAAATAAAATATATAAAAGCACTGGATTAAACCCCTGCTTTCTCAAATGGTCAAACTACACTCATGGAAATTGGGACAAAACCCAGTGGAATATCTAAGAGATATAAAAATTGCCGTCTTCACGAACGCACCCTCCCCCTTTACCTAGTGGAAGCAGTGTATATGTCTGAAAACAGGGCCACTTCGGTGGTAACTTATTCATTTCAGTACTTGAGGTCTGTGGGGCACGGACCGCCCCAGCAGCACAGCCGCAAGCGGGGAGGCTGGCAGGGGTGCCGCTGCCCCAGCGATCCCACTGGCGGCACCCCCCCGCTGGGTGACCTCGGGGCGGTGCTGTCGCGCTTCCCAGAGCCCAGCCCCGCGGGAGCAACACCCGACGGGACGCCGGGCAGCCTATGCTGGGTCACTCCGTACCTGGAAAAAAGGGTAGGCATGAAGCTGGCCAAGCTTATCGGATGCTGCGACAAACCGCGGAGGCGTTTCGCTGGGCAGAGCGGACGTGGCGCCCGGCAAAACCGCTCTCCGGGCCGGCCTCCTCCCGGGCCGCCCTGGCTGGGGTGCCCGCTGCTCTGGAGGACAGAGGAGCCCAGAGTTGTGCAAAGCCTCAGCGCCTCCTGTTGTCTGGCTGCGGCTGCGGGCTCAGCTCCCTCCTGAGGTTGCTCCCAGAGGTGAGAGCATAGCAGGCTCCCCTTTGTAATCTACTTAGAGCCTCTCGACTTGGTGTACAATCAGCAATACCGAGTCAGAGCCAGCTGCTGCTGGAAATTCCCTTCAGCCTCGCTTGCTGTATTGCAACCCTGGTGGAGAAACGCTTTCCTTGAACGAAGAAGAGAGTGTCATGACAGCTCTGCCCATAGCCACAGAAAAAGGGTATTTTGGTAGTTGCCCTTGCCCTGCAATTGAGTCTCTGCGAAACCCTATGTAGGATGATCCATGAGTCCAGCGCGATTTATCAGTACCCTTTGTAGCAGGCTCAGCAGAAGGGAAGCACTCTCCTAGGATGTGGGACGCGATCTAATAGGTAGGAGCTCTCCAGGTGCATTTAGCTGTTTCTGTGTTTTTCAGTCACGACAGTAGCCCTGGCCCTAATAACACAGAGCTTTTTCCCAACTCTGGTTAGAGTAGAGTAGCGCCAGTTTTTGATCAAGCTGTACACTGTTTTGTTTGGTTGTTTTGTTTAGTTTTTTTCTTTTGTGGGCTTTTCTTTTTCTGTTTTTTTGTCTGCTAGTGCAGCCTGAAGGAAAGCGCAGGCTGAGGTGAGCTATGCTTTCCCCGGCTAGATGGGAGCAAGGTCTCAGCTCCTGGCTCCACCTGTGCGCTGCCAAGGGTGCAAACCTGACCTAAAAAATACGGAAAGTATGTGTGTGGAGCGGAGGTGTGTGGAGCGGGGGCAGGACATCCAGGGGAGCCCGTGTTGCCAGCGCTGTCGGGAAAAGCTGGGCCTCTCCAAGACCACTCCGCAAGCGCCTGCTTTTTGGGAAGCGTTTCGCTGTCGGGCGGGACAGAGGGGCCCCGCCCCTTGGAAGGGACCTCCGGCAGTGCCACGGGCACTGGAGCTGGCACCGGCACGGCGCTGCCCACGCGGTGAGCCGCCACGGCCCAGTAGCTCATCGGCGCTCCTTGCCCAGCGCTGCCCGGGAGCGCCGCCCGCCAATACCCTCCCACGCGTGGGGCGGGCGGCCGATGCAACCCGCGGGAGCTATAATTTTAACTGTGGAGCATTGTTTCAGTTCGTTCCTGTGTAAGCGATTCTTTTCCCCTGGCAGGAACAGCGCCTGCCGGCCTTTCGGTGTAACTTGCAGGATCTTACTCTATTTTGCCCGAGCTCCATCGTCTCCTAGACGAGAATCTCTCGGCAGTGCTTGTGCGGGCCAGACGTCTAGCTCGGGAAGGAGCTGAGAGGTTATCTCCGCATCAGGGTGCCTTCCCTGCTCTTCACTGTACAGCCTTCTTTTTGTTTTCTTGGATCTGTCTCCTGCAGAGGGTCGCTCGTACCCGGCTTTCCAGGCGGGTCCAAGCCTGCACAGCGGGTCGCCTCAAACACCGTGAAACCCCGTCAGCTACTCCCACCCTCTTACTATACTTACTCATCCACTCCTCCCCACGGTGGGAAATCTCTCTTCCCATCTGTTACCAACCCGAAATCTTCCACCATCCAAGCGTGCAAACAGTAACGGGCTGGGAAAGAGCCAGAGCCGGGTACTTCGGGAGCTGGGGTCGTTGACTGCCGGGAGAGCCTCTTCTTTCGAGATGACAGCCGAGTCAGGGGGCTGTTTTCAATCCTCCCTCCCTCCCTCCTGCCGTTCCTCCCTCTCTCACACAGGCAATGTAGCCCTGGTTCTGGGCTTCTGTCGCAGAGTTCTCGTTTAGAAGAGCCCATGGGGGTCCCCCCGACACGCCTGGGCTTCCGCTGCCTGGAGAACCCTCCGGCCGGGCAGTTGCTCCCGCACCGCTGACCCCGGAGCTCACGGGCAGGTGCGATGCGATAAGGTAGCTTTTACCCTCCTCTCGCTCGAGAGCAGGGCCCGGGAAGATGAGGGCGTTGCATGGGGTCACCACTTGCTTCGGAGCTTTAGCTGCGTCAACTTTTCTTATCTCCAACCGTGACCATCAAGCGGCCCCCTTTCCCCGACCGACCCGCGGTAGGAGGAGGACATCCCCTTTTCCTTCTGCACTTTCTCCTCCCCAGGACCCGTGGTCTGGTTCTCCTGGACGGACTAAACCTGCCCTCCCGCCGCCCCGTCCATGGCAGGGAGGTCCGAGGGTCGCACCCCTTCCTCGCCGGGCCCTTCCTGCTCACTGCCGGGTCTTCAGCCGTGGGGTTCCAGCCCTCTCAGTCGCTACTGGCGGGAGCAGGGGCTTTGGGACCCCAGGCAGTGCCGTCGTGCCGTCAGCAGGAGCGCGGCGGAGCGTGGCCTCTCCGAGGCCCGGTCCGGCCGGGGCCGCACCCTCGGGGCACCGAGCAGCGGTCCCGGGGGCGCCGGGCCCGCCGCGCTCTCACGGGTCATACTCAAGGCGGTGCTCCCTCCATGGACGCTGTATGAGGCCATGAGGCCCGGAGACATTGCGTGGCTCGTTGCACCAGTGATGTTCCGTTGCCGGATTTTAATTTTTTTATTTTTTATTTCAGTCCAATTCATCGCTTTTCATTTTCAAGTCATCTTGCAGAACTGATATCATAAGACACAAGCGACACAAAATATAATATCCCACCCACCTGAAAATACTCATGTAGCAGACCAATTAAAGAGGAAAGAAGCACAAATAAAGCAATGAAAAATTATGAATGTTGATATCCAACGGTTGCAGTGATAAGAGTAAGGAAGCCTCTGTTTTGTGGTGGTTTCTTTTTTCTATAGT